TAAAAAATAAAAAGGGCTGGGATGAAGCTCAGTGGTAGAGCACCCTGGGTGCAATTCCCAGTATACACATACACAAAAAAGTGTATTTATGTATTGTGTGTGTATATATATATATATTTTTTTTTCACATCATTGCTTTGAAATTATAGAAGTTATCAGACCTATTGCAGGATCCTCTTTTTTGATGTGCTTGTAAAGAAACCTACAGATTACTTATTACAATTTAAAATATACTTAACTGTATTTCAATATGATCGATTTAATTGAAATCCCATGTTTTATTTTGTGTGTTTTTAATTCTGAGAATGGAGTGATAGCTTGTTTCAGATGTCAAAGAATTCATGGCATAAGCCAGGCATTGTGGCACATCCTGTAATCTCAATGACTCAGGAGGCTGAAGCAAGAGGATCACAAGTTCAAGGCCAGCCTTAGCCATTTATTGAGACCTTCAGTAAGTTAACGAAACCCTGTCTCAAAAAATAAAAAGGAGCCAGATGCAGTGGCACACATCTGTAATCCCAGTGGCTTAGGAGGCTGAGGCAGGAAGATCAAAAGTTCAAAGCCAGCCTCAGCAAAAGCGAGGTGCTAAGCAACTCAGTGAGACCCTGTCTCTAAATAAAATACAAAATAGGGCTGGAAATGTGGCTCAGTGGTTGAGTGCCCCTGAGTTTAATCCCCAGTATCTCAAATAAAGTAAAATAAAAAGGGCTGGGGATGTAGCTTAATGGTAAAGCATTCAAAGCACTAGATGGTTCAATCCCCAGTACTGTTAAAAAAATGAGGACATATGAATGTGCAGAATTACATTTCATTAGATCTCTCTCTGGCTGCTTTGGAAGAATGGATGGTCAGGGGCAAATGGTATGGTGGCTTCATCCAGGATGGTGACAGTGGGGWGAAAAAGAAGTAGAGGGAGCTGGTAGAAAGTGAGCTGGATTGGATGGATAGCAGAGAGAAAGGGAAAGTAGGAACCACAGATGACCCCTGAGTCTTGGTCTGGTTAACTGGATGGGTGTGGATAATTTTTTAAATCTATATTTCTCACCATGAGATCCTCTACAACCCAGGATTCACTTTCCCCATCCTCTCTCCTGCTGATTCAGGATGCAAATCACAGATACCTCTTTTAGGCTTCTGGCAGGAAAGGGGAGTTTTCATTGAGAATCATGCTAGGGAGAGGTACAAGTTACCAAGTATTTTAATCAACATACTAAGAGTCACAGCAAATCAGAAAAAAATCAAATAAGACTTTCTAGTGTTTTTCCATTGGGTTCAATCCAGTGGGCATATAATGGGGGTTTCTGAGGCTCTTTTAAGGGTTATGGATACAAGAAGTTAAATAAGACATGCCTCTTCCTGCTAGAGTTTCAGTCTAGCAGAGGAAGAAAGTACATCAACAAACTTGTTGTCTTGTGAGAGGGCAGCACAGAGCAGGGTGGGTCTCCTTTTCTGAGGCCTGAAGAGTATACAGTTTGGAGGGCTTTGAAATAAAAAGAAGACAATATTATGAAATATTAGGTCAAGGGCTTTGGAAGGGTCTATTGTAAATGGAGGGCTGTAAAGCTTAATTTTTTTTTTGCTTTGAAGTTCATCTACATCTGAAGGGAGACGGCCATGGGCATGTTATTGGGCTGCAGTAGTTAGGAGAAGGAAGGCAGAGTGGACTTGGTCTCACAGGATATAGTGGAAGACTTCAAAACCCTTACACTGGACATTGAGGGGACTGGCAGCTAGAGGGAGGAAGCATCAGCATACCTCCTCCTCTGCTGGCAATGGAGAAAGCAGAGGCTTCTCCTTTCAGGGAGATAGGGAACAGCCTTGAATTGTTGTAAGATGAAAGGTTGGAAAAGCATGGATGTTGGTCGCCACTATTTGGGTGGGCGGGGGCAGGACACCTGAATATTTGTTTGGACAAGGTAAATCTTCCAAATCTAAGAAATGCAGAAGGATTTACAGCATGACCTGTTTCTGGTATAGTTTTCCAAATATTATCTATGCATACCCAAATCAATACCTATATTTACACTTTTTACACAAATAATCGCACATCATATCCATTGTTTTGCCTCTTGAGATTTCCACTTGACAGGACATTCTGGAGACTTCTATATCAAGACACAAAGAGTCTTCTTTTGATGACTGCATAGTGTCCACTGTGAAGCTCCACCCTAATTCACCCACCCACCCTCTATTGCTTCATGACCAACTGATTTCTACTCTTGCTAGAACACTGCATGCTGCTGGGAATATCCTTCTATGGAGGTCATTTTGCACAAGCGTGAATGTGTCTTTAAGACAAAGTTCTAGGGGCTGGGGATGTGGCTCAAGCAGTAGCGCGCTGGCGTGCGTGCGACCCGGGTTCGATCCTCAGCACCACATACAAAAATTGTGTCCGCCGAGAACTAAGAAAAAATAAATAAATATTAAGATTCAAAAAAAAAAAAAAGACAAAGTTCTAGCAGTGGAATGGCAGTGTCAGAGGATATGTAATTTGCAATTTTTATAGACATTGCCAAGTTCCCCCCCACCAGTCACGGGAAGAGTGTTTTCCCACATTTCCACTGTGGTGTCTTGTGCACTGTTTTCATCTTTGCTGATCTGAGAGATGAAAAGAGCACCTCAGTGTAGTTCTATTTGTTACTTGTGATGTGAATTCACTGTACTTCCTTTGGTAGGCGCTCTAGATCTAGAGTACTGGATCATTAGTATTTTTCTTGTGGATTTGTAATTGCTCTTCATTAGAGAAATCAACCTTTTCTGTCGAGTTGCTTATATTTTTCTCAAATGGTTCATTTCCTGGGACATTAAATTGGTCTTTAGCATTGAAAGGAATTGAGGGGCATATGCCAACACCCCAAATTTCCCAGAAGAGAAAAATATCATAAATAATGTTATAGCTTTCAGCTATATATACATAAAATTTGGAAAGTAAATGATGAAGTATGAGTTTTTGTCCATAACATGAATATGTGGAACACCTACTGGGTGCTGGGTGCTATTCTAGTGCTAAGGATACAGTGTTGTGATGGAAAGAGTCAAGATCATGCTCTCATGCAACTGACCTCCTAGTGAGGGCGGCACACTATGAATGAGGAGACAGAAAGAGCCACCCCTGAAGTCTGATGAGGCTTGTGAAGGAGGTGAAATGGGGATTGAGAAAGGGAGGTGGGGTTGTGGGCATCTCTGAGGAGAGTTTGTATGAGAATTAGAACATGCCCATAGAGGGAACTGAATGTGCAATGGTCCTGAGACAGGAAAAAATTTGGCTCAGAATAGGGCTGAGTGGCTGGAGAGGACAGAAGGAGGGGTTGAGGTGAGGGAGAACTGCTCAGGCCTATATAAAGGCCTTCTACCCAGGTGAAGAGTTTTGATTGCAGTGTGTATGGGGGTGTTGCTTTTCCTTTGGAAATGTCCAAGCATAGAAGTAGAGAGGCTGATGCAGTGAACCTCATATGCCCACCGCCCAGCTTAACAGACACCAACATTTTGTCAGTCCTACTGGCAAGTAGAATTTCATCCATACACCTCACTTTTTTGGTGGTGGGGTGGGCTGGATTTTATTCCTCTGTTTCTTCCCCTGCCTGACACCCTTAAAAGAAAAACTTCACTGAGGTATAACACATACAGAAAAGTGTACATAGACATACAGCTCAATGAATACCTACAAAGTGGGCGTGCCCATGAACTGGCATCCAGAAGCTTCCCAAGCTCCTGACAGGAAATGAAACGAGGAGAATCAACAGGTGTTCTTTTCTGCAACTAGCTTCTTTCACTTAGGAGGCTCAGGAAGTTGGTGCTATTGTGTGTGATGTCAGGTAGACTCTGGACGCTCATCTTCATTGCTGTAGCATCCATTGAATTATTTATCCACCCTGCTGTGAGGCACTGGGGCTGTCTTCAGGTTCTGGCTGTTTCCAATGGCCTACATGGACATTGTAGCCCGTCTTGTGGAGAACATTCATACACATTTATGGTGCTTCATACCCAGGGGAGGAATTGCTGGATCATAAGGCAGGTTAGGTTCAGTTTCAGTAGATACTGGATTAATTTACTAGGGCTGCTCTAACAACCACAAATTGTGTGACTTAGACAAGAGAAACTACTTTCTCCCAGTTTGGGGGGCTAGAAGTCTAAAACCAAAGTGTTGGCATGTTGATCCCTTTGAGGGCTGTGAAGAAAACATCTGTTCTGGAAGTCTGTCCTTGGCTTGTAGAAGGTCATCTTTCCCCTGTGTTTCTTCACATCATCTTTCCTCTGTTTCCAAATTTGCCCTTTTATCAGGACATCAGTCATAATGGACTAGAGTCCACTCTAATGACTTTGTTTTAACTTGATCATCTGCAAAGACCTTGTTTCCAATAAGTTTATGCTCTGAGGTTCTGGAGATTAAGATTCCAGTATATCTTTTTATCAATTCATAATAGTGCAAAAGAGTTGCCCAAAGTGGTTTTGCCAATTTACAAAGCCTCTATTTGCTGAAGTATTTTAAAACCAAATTGGGGTATCTATTCACTTGTCTTAGGAGTGTTTTATAAAAGAAGAAAGACTTAATTTGATTTACATTTTTAAAGAATATTTATTTTTTAGTTGTAGTTGGATACAATGCCTTCGTAGGATCGAACAGGGGCCTTATGTGCTCGGCGAGAGCTCTACCACTGAGCCACAACTCCAGCCCATTTGGTTTACATTTTTAAACAAACCTATTTGTTCTGCAGGAATGTATGGCAAGGCAAATATTTCATTAGGAAGGAGAATAAATAAATAAAGAGCGAGCTCTCCTAAGACTGCTCATATGGGACTCTCTGGTACCCCATGGCAAAAGAAGCTTCTGGGTGCCCTCAGCTCAGGGTGCTGTTCAGAGACTGATGGACTCCCTTGCTGCCCAGTGCCAGATTGCACTGTTCCTGTTTTAGTCCCTTGGGGACTGAGGTGATACAGAGAGGGAGGAATCTGGCCAGGACTCAGGCTGATGGTCTTTCTGTCCATCACCTTTCTGCCAGGATATACAGCAGCTCCTCCAGCTCCAGCAGCTGGTGCTTGTGCCAGGCCACCACCTCCAGCCACCTGCTCAGTTCCTGCTGCCACAGACCCAGCAGAGTCAGCCAGGTAAGTTTCCTCTCCTGTCCCTGCTCCCTCACAAAACAAACAAACAAACAAAAATCCACTTCCCTGATGCCTCAACAGTATTCCCTCGCCTCCCCCATCCCTCCCTCACCCTGTGTATCCCCCATTTCTCTCCAGGCCTGCTACCGACGCCAAATCTATTCCAGCTACCTCAGCAAACCCAGGGAGCTCTTCTGACCTCCCAACCCCGGGCCGGGCTTCCCACACAGGTGAGAGGGTCCTCTGAGTGTGCCCAGGCCAGGCTAGTAGCAGGGCCCTTGGCTGGGTGAACAGAGGTGGTGTGTGTGGGGGAGTCTCATTTTCATTGCCCACCCCAAAGCCACAGGAACCAAGACAGAAGCAGGGGAATCTGCCGCAGATTTTCTGTGTGACCCCAAAGCATGCTTCCTGTCTGGATCAGTGCCTTCCTCTAGAGAATGAAGGGAGTCAAACTAGACTAGTGCTTCTTAACCTTTTCAGGCACACAGACTCCTTTGAGAATCTGAAGAAAGATTTAGATCTGATGATCCCCATGCCCTCAAAATGTACATCTTAACAAACACAAACTTTCAGGAGGTTGCAAGGCTTTCTGTTAGAAATGCCTTGGTTTTTTTCCAGCATGAAACTGGAGGGTGCTTGTGAGCAAGGCATCTGTTAGGCGCTAACTCATGTTCATTTCCCAGACTTAGAGTCTGTCCTGAGAGAGGGGCCCACAGATGTTTTATTTTACCATCATCAGCTTAATTCCCAGAAAGCACCAATGTCCAGCTTCTCTTCACAAATCAGAATATCTTGAAAAACTGTTGTATATTCATGTGATTACCTGGTGGCAGTGAGTGAGTCGCCCCCCCCCTTAGAAAGGGTATCAGCTCTCCAGGGCACCTCAGGGTCCTCTTGCCTGGACCCCTTTCCTTCAGTTTGCTGCCTGGGTTCTAGAGTTTAATGAGACTCTTTCACACCTTTTAATTAGTTCAGTTTTTTTCCTTTTTTTTTTTTCTTGTATAACCCTTTCAGAAAATATACAGAGGTTGGGGGTGTAGCTCAGTTAAAGAGTGTATGCTTAGCCTGCTCAAACCTCTGGGTTCAATTCCCAGTGCCCCCCAACACACACACACACACACACACACACACACACACACACACACGAACTAGTTCAGAAAGACTGAAAAGTTTAAAGACCAATACAGGTCTTGGCTACAGCGCTGAAATTCAAATGCTCTGAAAGTCAAGGTGTTCTTGCAACATTGGCACCAGACTCATTTGGCTGCAAAAGCTGCCCTGCCTGATATGGGGCAGTGTATGACTTCCTATGTCTCTTGGTATAATATTCCTGCTGCTGCAGAACTGCTAATGTGTCCGATTACAAGGTAATGCCTTTAGCCTGATTGGGAGGTGTCACCTTATCTATAATACATGCCCTATATATAAACTTCCCAAACTCTGAAAAACTTAGGATTTCCAAACCACAGCTGGTCTCAGGGTTTGGGATCATCAGGGGTGACAGACATCCCTATTCCTACCATCTGCTTTAGACTTTTTATTTTTAGAACAATGAAGCATTCCAGATAGAACTCTTGCTTCTTTGCCCATCTCTCTCATTGTCCTCCCTGTCTTTGTTTTTATATTTTATTTGCAATCTACAATTTGGGGGGGTACCTGGACTGGACTCAGGGACACTCAAACACTGAGCCACATCCCCAGACCTATTTTGGGTTTTATTTAGAGTCAGGGTCTCACTAAGTTGCTTAGCACCTTAGTTTTTCTGAGACTGGCTTTGAACTTCACAAGCTGCAGGGAATACAGGTGTGCACCACTGCACCCAGCCTATCTACAATTTTTTTATGACTTAAATTTTTTAGAGCAGTTTTAGACTCACAGAAAAACTGAACAGGGAAGGTAGATCCCATATACCTGCTGTCCTTCACATGCAAGCCTTCCCCTTTATCAACATCCTCAACCCAAGTGGTGCATGTGTTACAGTCAGTGAACCTACATGGACACATTATTATTACCAAAGTCCATAGCTTGAACATCAGGGTTCACTCTTGGTGTTGTACATTCTTTGGTTCTGGAAACCCACTTATTTTTAACCTGATTCTTCCAAAAACCTAGTGAGCAGCCAGAGCAGCAATGATGGTTTTCCCCCTTGTAGAGGGAGAAAGGGGGGGGCAGGGAAGTTACAAGCCTTAGCCTGAGCTGTCCAGCAATTCAGTGGCACAGCCAGAGCCAGCCTTTGATTCCTTGGTGGAGAGGAGGAGGGAAGTACCACTCCCCTCCTCCTCATTCCAGGGAACAAGCACTTGGCAAAAGAAGCTGGCTGCTCCTTCTGGGGGATTGCAGATTCTAAGGGGCAGTGCAGAGAGTTCCAGACAATGACAGGACCCATGAGGGGCAGCAGAGTGGAACCTTTAACGGGATTGACAGTGAATGTTGAGGTGCTTCCTGGGGCAACTGGTGGGGAGCGTGCAGGAAGAGTCTGGACTGCAGGGAGGGACCAGGGACGCGCAGGCACTGCTGAGCACCATCCTCGCCCTCCGTCCTGCTTCCCACCCCACCTGCCCACCCCACCAGGCTGTGACCCGCCCCACGCTGCCCGACCCGCACCTCTCACACCCGCAGCCCCCCAAATGCTTGGAGCCACCATCCCACCCCGAGGAACCCAGTGATCTGGAGGAGCTGGAGCAGTTCGCCCGCACCTTCAAGCAACGACGCATCAAGCTGGGCTTCACACAGGTCTGGGGACACCCTGCAGGGTGGGAGGTGTGCAGCGTGGGGGTGTGGTCAGTTGATGGGGGTGTGGGGAGTAGACCGCTAATTGACGGGCACCTTAGTACTGGAAGACCTCTCCCTGACCTCAGCTCCGTATTCACCCCATGGCTCAGGGTGATGTGGGCCTGGCCATGGGCAAGCTCTACGGCAACGACTTCAGCCAGACGACCATTTCCCGCTTTGAGGCCCTCAACCTGAGCTTTAAGAACATGTGCAAACTTAAGCCTCTCCTGGAGAAGTGGCTCAATGACGCAGGTGAGATTGGGCTGGAGCTCTAGGGTTGGGGACCTGATGCGGGCTGTGGCGGGGGGAGGGCCCTCTCAAGCCCATGTCTCCTCCTGGCACAGAGACTATGTCTGTCGACTCAAGCCTGCCCAGCCCTAACCAGCTGAGCAGCCCCAGCATGGGTTTTGATGGGCTGCCCGGCCGGAGACGCAAGAAGAGGACCAGCATCGAGACAAATGTCCGCTTCGCCTTAGAGAAGAGTTTTCTAGCGGTGAGGCCCCATCCTCCTTGGCGGCCCAGAGGGTGGCAGGAGGGAAGACCAGTGCTAGCGAGCCCTCTGCCCACAGAACCAGAAGCCTACCTCAGAGGAGATCCTGCTGATCGCCGAGCAGCTGCACATGGAGAAGGAAGTAATCCGCGTCTGGTTCTGCAACCGACGCCAGAAGGAGAAACGCATCAACCCCTGCAGCGCGGCGCCCATGCTGCCCAGCCCAGGGAAACCAGCCAGCTACAGCCCCCATCTGGTACCTTGAGGGCCCTGTGGGGGGCAGGGGAGCCACAAGCCCCGTAGGCACCTGTGTGAAACAAACCTACCTGGTTGTCCACAGGGCCTAGAACAGAGGCCCCTGGGGACAGTCACATAGAAAGTAAGTCATACGGAGAACACAGGGTTTCCAAGCACAGATATACACTGACACAGAGTTCTCACAGGGACATAGCAACATGGGGATGGATATATATGACCAGGGAATGGACCAGGCTCACATCCATACAGAGACAGGGAGAGGTGCTTTTGTTGTTGTTGTTTTTGTTTTTGTTTTTGTTTTTACCTGGCAGGGACATCATTATACCCATGGGGGAACCCTCAGGACCACAGCTTGTGCACAGGCCCACTCAGTATCATACACAACTGGGACATCCTTTTCCCATTCCTTTATTTCCATTTGTGGAAAGGGCTCCAGAGGAGTGCTACTCCAGAGAGGAGCCCCCTGCCCCAGGGGTGTGTAAGGAAGAGGGACCCTTTGAGCTGAATCATAAAGGATAAGCCAAAGCCGGCCATGTGAGGAGAAGGGCCTTGCAGGTGAAGGGAGTGGTGTGTACACAGGCCTAGATGCTGGAGTGCCAGGCTTATTTGCAGGAACTCCTGGGCAGTTTTGAGTGGAGCTGCAATGTCGAGTGGGGATGGCTGGAGGCAGGAGCCCCAAGTTCATGACGAGGAACTTGAATTTGATCTTGAGTAGTGAGGAGCTAAGAAGGAGTATTAAGATGGGGAGGGACAGGGTCAAATTCAGCAAGGCTTCTGGGGCTAATAGAAAGGTGAGATTGGAGGTAGGGATGATCCCAGGAAATCAAGTAATATGACATCCCAACACTGACACAAAGATTTTATCTTTGAGGGCAGGTGTGGCTGGGTGCAGTAGCACATGCTGGTAATCTAAGCAACTTGGGAGGCTGAGGCAGAAGGATCACAAGTTCAAAGCCAGCCTCAGTAACTTAGAGAGATCCTCCCTCAAAATAAAAAGTTAAAAGGGCTGGGGAGGTAAAAGGGTAAAGTAACCCTGGATTCAGTCCCCAGTATCATAAAAAATTTTTTAAAAAGGCAAGTATCTTCATTCTGGGAGAACCAATGTCAGCAGGAGCACAAAGAACAGTTGCTCCTCAGTTCAGTCACTATAGGAAGGACATGTCATTGGAGGACATGAGCCGGACTAGAGAGTGCCAGGTGGGAGGCAGGGAGACCTCTCAGTTGAGAATTATTCCTTCCTGCTTGTGACTCAGACTCACCTAGGGTAAATGTGAGGAAAGATATAATGGAAAGCAAGTGACATAATACAAATGTAGCATTGTATACAAAGTCCCTTCTCCCCCCATCCCTTGGGGAGGACAGTGGGGGTCATATGCACAGGGAGCATCATGGGGGTTTCTGGGAGACAATGGCCTAAACATACCTTTTTTTCTCTCTCCCCAGGTCACACCCCAAGGGGGCGCAGGGACTTTACCATTGTCCCAAGCTTCCAGCAGTCTGAGCACAACAGGTCAGGGAGGGCAGAAGGCCGGGAGGGGAGTGGGAGGATGCTGCACAGGCTGTAGCCTGAGGTTCTCCTGTGGCTGTGTGGCCATGGGCCTCAGGCTGAGTCTGGAGGTTGGGGGTCAGGGGGAGTAGGAAGGACAGAGGATAGAAGGCAGACCCTCCTCCTCCTCCTCCACCAGAGCACCAGGGCTCTAATCTGCTCCAGGATTTCCTGTGAGAAAAGCATCAGGTGGCTAAAAAGTGACACACATAGCTTTTGTCCCTGGCCTCTGTCATTTATAAGCTATGTGAAGTCAAGAAGTTACTTTACCTCTCTGAGCCTCAATTTTTGTAATGTATATTATGAAAGGCAGCCACTCGGCTAAGATATGCGTATAAATATACACAGACCAGAATGCAGGAACTGGAGTGGCTCAGTGGTAGAGTGCTTGCCTAGCATGACAGAAGCCCTCAGTTCAATCCTCAGAACTGTAGTAGTATAGTAGTAGTAATAATAATAATAATAATAATAATATAAACAAACACTATATTGCCCCCTTAGTTTCCTCAGTTTAAGAAATCATAAGTAGAGGTTTATAAATAGTTAGTGGGAGCCTGGCACCATTCTAAGCTCCTTATAAAGCTTATAGACTGATTTGTCACACCCATTTTATGAGTTACGTTCTATTATATCCCCATTTTCCAGAAGAAGGAACTGAACATTGGAGAGGTGAAGGCGCTCATCTCAGGGCACAGCTGTGACATGACAGAGCCAGGAAACTTAATCCCAGACAGAGCATACTGGCCCTCAGTCCCTCCCTGCCCTGCATGCCCATACTCATGCCCTCTTTGTGGCCTCTAGAAGGAGTCCCTAAATGGGGTTTTGTCTCCTGGGTGCCCCATTTCTTGTCAGTGTCAAAGTGGTTCAGGTGTGGTTTGCAGATCCAGCATCTGTCTGGCACAGGTTCAGTAGGAGGCCGCTGCTCTTACTAAGGTTATTGGGAACCACTTTCCCATTGCAGAGGCACAAGGAGATGACTCTGGGCTCAGGGAAGAGGGAACAGGGATGTCTAGTCTGTTCTGCTGAGGAGATGCTGAGTGAGCTGGAGGAAATGACAAGCTGGGGTTGATCCCGGCTTCCTTGATGGGGGACTTAGTGGAAGCTGAAGACCCCATCTCTCTGTCTCTCTCTGGCAGTTACTACCTTATCCTCAGCTGTGGGGACGCTCCACCCCAGTCGGACAGCTGGAGGGGGTGGAGGCGGGGGCGGGCCCGTGCCCCCCCTCAATTCCATCCCTTCTGTCACTCCCCCACCCCCGGCCACCACCAACAGCACAAACCCCAGTCCTCAAGGCAGCCACTCGGCTATCGGCTTGTCAGGCCTGAACCCCAGCACGGGGTAAGTGTGCAGGTGCAGGCGGGGAGGCTGTGGGGAGAAGCTGGGTCGCTGCTGCTTTCAGGGTGGGGAGCTGCACCCCAGTTCCCGCAGCTCCCTGCCCCTGCTAACGCCTCTGCTTTGCTCTTGCAGAAGCACAATGGTGGGGTTGAGCTCCGGGCTAAGTCCAGCCCTCATGAGCAACAACCCTTTGGCCACTATCCAAGGTGCGTGCTGCCTCATGTCACTCCCATTGTCACCAGTCCCATCCTCTAATCCTGTCCCTCAGGGCCTTGAGCCCCCTCCCCCTGCATTTTGCTCCAGCCATGCCATCCTGCCCCTGCTCACTGCATCGCTCGCCTCTTCATCCCCATCTTGCCTTTGGGAAGGTGTGAGGGTTGCTGATGGGGGCAGTGGGACAAATGGGGAGACAGACAGGTTGCACTGATGGGGTCACTGGGGTAGGACACTGGGAGGCAAAGGTCTCCCCTGGCCTGGTGTGCCTCCAGCCCAGCCTCTCTCTCTCCCCACCAGCCCTGGCCTCTGGTGGAACCCTGCCCCTTACCAGCCTTGATGGCAGCGGGAACCTGGTGCTGGGGGCGGCTGGCGCGGCCCCAGGGAGCCCTGGCCTGGTAACTTCGCCACTCTTCTTGAACCACGCCGGGCTGCCCCTGCTCAGCGCCCCGCCAGGCGTGGGCCTGGTCTCAGCAGCGGCTGCGGCAGTGGCAGCCTCCATCTCCAGCAAGTCTCCTGGCCTCTCCTCCTCATCCTCTTCATCCTCGTCCTCCTCCTCCTCCACTTGTAGTGAGGCGGCAGCACAGACCCCTGGAGGCCCAGGGGGGCCCGAGGCAGGGTCCAAGCCTGAGTGAGGGCCCATCATGCTTCCCCTCCCACTCCTCTGACCCTCCACCTTGGTCCCCCGCCTGGGAAGAGGGCGAGGAGGCCAGTGGTGGGGGTACATCGGGTCCTTGGAGCAGGAGTGACAAGGGAGGAAAGACCAAAAACCCAATCAACCAAAAAAAGAAGAAACTAACCAACAAAAAAGAAAACCAAAAATAATCACAACAGAAACCAGCTGCCCCAAAGGAACCAGAGGTGAAAAACAAATAAAAAAACCAAAAACAAACAAAAACCCCACAAAATCAAACCAAAAACCAGTCTCGAGCCAGACCTCAGAGTGCTCACCCTCACTGCTACGACACCAAATAAGAACCCCAGCCAGGAGCAGAGCAGCCTCCTGCAGGTCGGACCTCATGCTGCCGAGCCCTGGCTGTGGGGCAACCTCCAACCTTGCCCCCCAAGTGGGGGCTAAAGAAGGAAAAAGAGAATGTGCCAGCCTGCTGACCCCTGCCCCAACCCTGGGCCAGCAGAGACAGGGCACAGCCTGGGGCAGAGGGCCCTGACCCAGAACCACCCATCAAATGTTCTTTTCCAGAAGGTGAAAGAAAGGGCCTGAACAACCTTACACCAAATATTCAGTAGCTTCATCCAAAGGATGTACAGACTTTTTAGCGTTGTGCTCAACAGAATGTGTCCCTACCATATGTCCCCCTCTCCCCTGGCCCCCAGCTCTCCCCACCTGGGCAGGGGGTCTTTCTTTAGCCCTCTTCCCTCCCCCAGCCAGGGGTGAGTTCGGGGGAAGGCCCGGGGATGATTTTTCACCCTGTACCTCCCCCTTTTCCCTTTGAAGGGTGGGCTAGGCCATTTTGCCAAGTTCCAGCTCTCATAAGTCCCTCCTCAACCCTGTCACCCTCTTGTGCTCTGGAATCTACCCCTCTCCAGCCTGTGGGAAGGTGGATGTTTCAGGCAATAGGTGATGAGGTGAGGGCATTCAAGTTGTCTTTTTTTCCATCCTGTCAGTTTCCCTGAAAAAAAATATTCATATTCCAGTGCCTATCCGTGGGATCCTTCACGTTCTGACATTAACCAGAAACCAAAAAGATAACTCACCTCACTCCGCCCACCCTGTGCCCCTCTGACACTGGCAGATGCCTACCCTCCCCTGTCCCAACGCACACACGCACGCACCCCAGTGGTGGGTTCCTCCAGATGGCATCCCCATCAGGGTCCATGTGGCGGGGACAGTGCCATGACCTGTGGTCCCCATCCAAGAGGGCGTTGTGGTGGCCACCACTCCCATGAGACCTCCACAAGTCTTTGCTGGACCCTGGGTTTGCCCAGCCCTAGACGCATCTTGATGATGGACAGAGGAGAGACGCTACTGGGAGCCACCTTGCCCTCCTGCTGTTGTGGAGGCCAACAAAGTTTTGAACCAAAAAAACAAACAAACAAACAAAAACCAAACAAACAATAAATTAAAACTAGAAAAAAAGAATTTATAGATATATATATATATAAATAAATATATAAGGGAAAGAAGACAAGGACTCTTCAAGAATAAGAAGGAAGCTCGAGGTGGAGCCAAGCCCCTGCACCAGTGGTCCAGGCCCTTGGTCCCCAAGGCAGATGGAAGGACGGATGCTTCTTTCTCTTCACAAATACCTCATGGACGTCGTCTTCGGGAAAGCCGGAGGGGGACGGCTGGGGCAGGGCCTGTCCCTCAGCCAGGGTGGATGGAAGTGGGTGGGCAGGGCTGAGAGAGGGTGTCAGGGACAGGGGTGAAGAGCCCCAAACTCCTCGCCCCCCCAATCAACTGAAAAAGCTTTAAAAAAAAAAGACAGGAAAAAAAAAAGAAGAAAGCAAAAAGAATGGACGAAGGAAAACCAACAGTTTTCGGGTGGTTTGATTCCTCCTTTGATTTCTTTTTCTGTTATCTCCTGTCTCCTTCCTCTTTCTTGCCCTCCCTCCCTCCCTGCCCTCTCCTCTCTCTTCTCCTTTCCCTTTGCTCTTTTCTCACTTCTCTCAATCTCATTCTTTCTGTGTCTCTCCTCAAACCAAAGTGTTGCTGTGAAGGACTGGAGCCATTGAAATCAGAGTGGTCCCCGCCCCTGGCTGGGCAGGAGCAGAGGGAGGGGAGCCTGGAGATGGCCTGGTGGCCTCCATGCTTTCTGCTGGACACTCCAAAGAGAGGCAGACGGAGCCCCAGCCTCAGCGTTCTCTTTTCTTCTGGTCTCCCTTCTCCCAACCGGGAAACAAAACTGTTGGGCTGGGCCACAGAGGCAGCAGAGACAGCCATCACAAGGGCCTCGGTGCCTTGTCTGGGCAGTGGTGGAGCGGCGCCTCTCCCACCCCTGGCACTAATGGGGCCTGGCACCTCGTCAGCCCATCCTTGCTAGAATGTAAGCATCTCCGATGAATCAGCTCCCTGCCCTCACCCTACCTCTGAGTTTGTCCATTTGATGTCCTGAAAAGGGCCTGGTGAAAGGACCTAAGCCCCAGCCCAGGGGTGGAGAGGGGCCAAGGGCTCCTGAACGGATAGGAAGGATGTTTGAGCAGAGCAGAATGAAAGGAATGATGACCAAAAACCCCCTCCGAGAAGACAGGCAGCATGGAAGGCATGGTGGAGATGACTCAAATGAAAGCTATGATTCTAGACCAAAAAAAGGAAAAAAAGAAAAAGAAAAAAAAAAAAAAAGGAAAGAAAATCCAGGACTCACCACCACCCACTTCATCCTGCTTCCTCCCCATCAAGTCCCCTACCTGGGACCTCTCCCCATCCCAGCGTGTGGGGAGTGGGGCAATGAGAGAGGAGGAAGCAGGGCAGGGATGGGGCAGATGCCCTGACTTGGTGGAGGGACCCCCATGCAGCTGGGGGTAGAGGGGACCCTCCCCATCCAACCCCCACAACTTGGAAAAGAAAAACAAGAAAAAAGAAAATTCCTGGGGGGTGGGGAATAACCAAATTCCAAGCTTTAACTACAGCTGTGAAACCAAATATTGGGAAGGGGCGGGAGGGAGGGAGGGAGGGGCAGGTGAGCCCCAGGTCTCCCCCCTGGGCCCCCCTCCTCCGAGGACTCGAGATAAGGCACCAAATACCTCATAGAACTTTAATGTTAAAAAAAAAAAAAGAAACCAAATATCGTTGGCTGGGGGCCAGCCAGGGCAAGGGGCTGGAGCTGGAGGGAGCTAGGGCTGGGAAGGTGATGGGGGAATTCCTGCCCCCCACCCCCACCTGCCCCTTCCACTCTGGCCCCCACCCCACCCCGCCTCGACTCCGGGAAACAAAACTATCTCATCGTTTTTATTTTGTGGTCTGTACAGAGCCTGTGTCCGTGTGTCTGTGTGTGAGCGAGAGAGTTGGAGAGCTGGGGAGCTTTATGTGGGGATAGGGGAGGGAGACCCCAGGCCAGGCTCTAAGCTAGCTTAGAGGTCAGATAGAGGGCCAGGGGCCTGGGCTAGAGAGGAAAGGTGAGTGAACTGGGGCAAGGGGAGCCCTCTGAATTTCCCTTCTTCCCATCCCTGACCTCCTACTTAAGGGAGGGACAGAGACTGGGTCTACTTAATGATGGGCTTTTTAATTGTGCCAAAAAAAAAAAAAAAAAAAGATGCCAGTAACGAAACCACCTCTCTCTGTTCTCTTCTGGAGGGCAGAGTGGAGACTAGAAGTGGGAGGAAGGGGCTGGGTGTGTATGGGGGGTGAGTAGTAGGGATGGGGGCCCCAGGTCCCTGTAGAAGTTGGGGCTAAGATCAGGAGGGGGATGGTGTGAGTTTTCCACACATCTCCTCCCTGGGGAAGGCCAAGGGAATGGTCTCCAAGCCTGGCACCCTGGGAAGATTCAGAAGGAACTAGTGGGGGGTGACCTCTTGACCTATTTTCTCTCACCCACCCTAACCCCAGGGTGCCTCTCTCTTCCTCTAGCCCAGGGTAGGGGGAATTGAGTGAGAGTGAGACAGACTGAGCAAGATTGAGACACGCGGGCCCCCACCAGTCTCAGTGGGAAAGGCAAGTGCGAGAGATAAAGGCCTCCAAGAGAATAAAGAAACAAACCAAAGATTTAACCATTTAAAAAAAAAAAAAACCCACAGACAACTCCGCTACCTTTTTATACGTTGGGAAAAAAAGTGAAAAAAAATTTAAAATAAAAACTAAAAAAAAAAAAAAAAAAAAAACACAAAAACTCCGAGCCGCAGTTCCCTCTTGCGGTTTAAACTTTGACCTCAACAGTCTCCAAAGCAAGACGATGATAAGAAAGGAGAGAAAAATAAAAAATAATGTATATTTTTAAGTATTTGTCCTTGAGATGTTAGCTCCTCGCCAAACAAACAACAACAACAAAAGGAGCAAAAAATTCAGAGAGAAGTGTTGCTGGGATGGAGACAACAATTTACTATGTCTGTGACCCCTCCCCCCCCGCCTCCCTCCCCTCCCCCTCCCTTCCTTTCCTCCAGCCCTGCTGCCTTTCCCCCAACCTATTCTCCAAGACCAGGGGCTCAGTATTTATTTATGTAATTGCAGGGTAACTGGGAGCCTCTCTTGACAACTTGTAGAGGCCTCTGGATCATGGTGGGGTGAGGAAGGGGCAGGGTGTCTTTAGGGAAAAGCAAGGTCCTAAATCTTTGAGCAGCTCTTCTCACTTCCCTCTGGCCTCTTATCCCACTGCTGCCACCATTACACCCCGATTCAGGACTGCACTAGGGGAGGGTGACCACCCCACTTTGTAAAGATCTGATTGGCTGAGCCCTTTTTGGGGTGGGTGTCTCACCTAATTGGGTGGGAGACTTGGAAAGGGTGGCAAGTAGTGGTCACAGGAGAGTGGCATCCAAAAATTGAGTAGACTCTGGAGTACACCTGCCTTTCCTCCATCCCCCCAAGTGAACCCCCTTTTCAGTTCTCTGACCCCTGTGTTGGTAGCCCTCCTCTCCCATCCTTTACCCTTTCCCTGTCTCTTCTCGTGGTAGCGGGTTAGCGTTTCAGTGTTCTTAACTCCAATCTGCTTGTTCATTGTACAATGTGCTTCTTTTAAGGCCCCATTTTTGTAACTTGAGTGTGTCATTCATCTGAACAACAAACATCAAAAAATAAAAAATTAAAAACTGTACAGAAAGAAATGATGCCTGCTCTCCCTTGGTCTTCTGACTGTGCTGGGAAGGGTGGTGAAGAAATGAGGGTATAGGGGTAGGGATGGTAATGTGGGGAGGGAGAGTTTTACTTCTGTACAAATACTGAATGTTCAGAAGGCCCGAACAAAATTGTTTACCAATCAGAAACTTAGGCTGAATTCAAAAT